GAGACGCGTCAGCCTCCCCTCCTGGGGGGAGCAGAGGTTGCCTTGAAGAAAGTGCTATAGGGGAGCTCGCCTGCCCACCCGCCCGCCCGCCTGCCTGCCAACAAGCTGCGGTGCCTCTCAGGCCCCAGCACAGGGACGGCGGCCACAGACTGAGCAGCTGCCCAGTGCCAGGCGCTGTGCCAGGAGGGCACCATGGCGCTAGGGGGGCATCCTCGAGTCCCAGGTGAAAGGGGAGGGTCAGGTGGGCGGCAGGCAGGGCGCACACTGGTCAGCAAGGGGCTGGGGAAAGAAGTGTCTCAGCTCCAGGCATCTTAGAGGGCTCTTCCTTCCCTGGGCGGCCAACAGGTGCCGCTCACCGTCCCCTCGGGCTCTCCGGCTAGGCGGGCCGGGCCCTGGGCAGACCCGTGTCACTTCAGCGAGGCTCCCAGGCCCTGGCTATGGAAGGAGTTGGGGGTCGGGGGGCTCAGCACCTCCCCAGAGGATCCAAGCACAGCTCTGGCCAGGCGCCCGTGCAGACAGACTGCCCGTGCGGGGGCAGGCCAGGCCTGGGGCCCTGCCCCTGCGACCCGGAGGCTCGGCTCCTTCTCTGTAAAACGGGGCGCCCTCTCCAGCGGGCCATGGTGAGGACTGGAGAGGGTTGCGCAAAGGGCCCGCCACAGGTGATAAATATGAAGTTGGCTCTGGGCAGGGCCCTCCGGAGGAACAGGGGAGCAAGCTTTACCTCAGAAGGAAACGAAGAGAGTCGCTGGCCCGGCGCCTGCTGGAAGGTGGCCCCCTGGCGCCCGGCCCCGGAGGAGCCGTCTCTAATTAACTTTCAACTAAAAATAGCCCCCCCGGGCTGCACACCTACTCCCCGCCTGGCACGGGCACGCCCGAGCCACCTGTTGGGGGCGCGGGGTCGGCCAGCCTGAGACAGAGCCTGTAACACGGTGGGCACACGGAGCGGGAGGCTTTATTGAAGGGGTACAGAACCGGGGGGGCTCCTGCCGTCAGCCGGGCCGTGGCCTCCGTCGCCCGTGCTGCCGCGACCCCCGGCCACCCCTCCCTCACCTGCTCCCGGGCGACACGAAGGCGTCTTACCCAGCCTCATCGCAGGAGCCCAGGGGAGTTCAGAGTTCTGTTCAGGAGAGGGTTGGGGCGCGAGGGCCAGTCCCTCCGGGCAGCCCTGCCCGGCCGCCCCACCCGTCCATCCCGCTCGCTCCCGGCGGGCGCCTCACTTGCAGCTCTGCAGCCGGGTCCTGCGGTGCTTCTCCTCGGCCAGGAGGGGGACGAAGGTGTCGCTGTGGGAGATCTTCAGGCGGCTGCTCCAGCTCGGGCCCTCCTTGCCGGCAGGCTCGGGCGGGAGGTTGTCCAGGTCAGCGCGCGAGCCCGGGGCCTTGCCCTCCGCCGCGCCGCCGGAGTTGAGCTCCATCAGCTCCAGCTCGTGCTTGGCCGCCGTCTCCAGGACCCGCTGCTTGTTGTAGTATCTGACGAAGTTGTTGATGATGGGGTGGATGGGGAGGGCGATGGCAATGACCCCGCACAGGAAGCTGATGGCCGCGTTGAGCTTGCCCAGCGTGGTCTTGGGGTAGATGTCCCCGTAGCCCACCGTGGTCATGGTGATGATGGCCCACCAGAAGGACTGCGGGATGCTCTTGAACAGGGTCTCGGGGTGGCTCTGCTCCATGGTGTAGCCCAGGGCGGAGAAGACGAAGATGCCCACCGCCAGGTACATGAGCAGCAGCCCCAGCTCCTTGAAGCTGCGCTTGAGGGCGTAGGTGAGCGTCTGCAGCCCCGACGAGTGGCGCGCGAGCTTGAAGATGCGCGCGACGCGCATGATGCGCAGCGCCTGCACCGCCTGCTGCACGTTGCTCAGCTCCATCATGCGCGCGCCCAGGTGCGTGAGCGTGAGGCTCACGTAGAAGGGGAGGATGGCCAGCACGTCCACGATGTTCATGAAGGACAGCGCGAAGTGCAGCTTGTTGGGCGAGGAGAAGAGGCGCAGCAGGTACTCCAGCGTGAACCAGCCGATGCACGCCGTCTCCACGTTCTCCAGCGTCGGGTGCTCCACGCGGTTGCCCTCCGCGTCCTGCACCTGCAGCTCCGGGATGGTGCCCACGCACATGACCACCGAGGAGACGAGGATCAGCAGGAAGGACAGCACCGCCACCACGCGCGCGGGGCACGACGACTCGGGCTTCTCCAGGAACTTCCAGACGCACTTCTGGCAGCGGCGCCAGCGGCCCTCCGCCGCGTCCACGCCCAGGTCGTCCAGGATCAGCTGCACGCGGCGCGCGATCTCCTCCAGCTCCTCGCGCTTCTCGCTCAGGTGGCTCTTGCAGCAGTCGTCCAGGAACTTGAGGTCCACCTTCCAGAAGTCCATCTCGTTCTTGAAGCAGATGGGGCAGATGCCCTTCTTCATGTGGACCTCCCCGAAGTAGTACACCTCGATGACACACTTGAAGGCGTCGGGGTCCCTGTCGAAGTAGAACTCGCGCTTTCCGGGGTCATAGTCGTCGCACAGGGAGAAGATGGTGTCGTAGCCCCCCGCCAGGCAGTTGATGAGCTCTGCCAGCCGGGTTTCGGGGTACTGGCTGAGGAGGTCTCCGTACAGCACCTGCCGCACGCCCCCCACGTTGACCACGATCTCGATGTCGTCGCCGGCCCGGGAGCCCTGGCTGGCAGGCTCGGGCTGGGGCTCCGGCTGGGGCTCCGGCTGGGGCTCCGGCTCCGGCTCCGGCTCCGGCTCCGGCTCCCGCTCCCGC